TCTATGGAAAAGGCATGGGCGATTCACCTGCCCGATGTTGATCTTCAGATGCGCTCCGTCACCTTGAATTAAGTGCTGAGGGACTGATTCGCCGCGCAAGCCCTGTAGCCTCCACTGAAACTCCAGAGACGCGATATGGACCGGCAGGCAATGAGCAGTCCAACGATCCTAGTCCGGCTGAATGCAGCAACGCTGAGGACTACGAATTTGATGAATCACAGGATTTTGATAATACAACTGATGGCATGGGATCTCTCGTTACTGAACCTGGAAAGGTCGGGTATACAGGTCCTCAATCTGGCGTTGCTGCGTTGAAGTTCTTACAAACTCTACATCTGTACACACCCTCTGATCACCCAAGACCAATCCCACTAGACGAACCTGATACGCGTAGTACATCACAGGCTTCATCAGCTGATATATCACACTATGTAAACGATTATTTCAACATTTATCATACGTCTTATCCCATCCTTCATGAGGGCACTTTCCGTGCTCGTCTCTCCGGTAAACCTTTTGACGACACCGATGGACGGTATTTGCTAACAGGTTCATACTAGGTGCATTGGCCAAACCGCGGGATGGCTCATGGCCACTTTTGTATAATATCGTCGTCGCTATAGGGGCATTCGTCGGGGGCACTGATACTTCAAATAATGATGTCCCATTCTACAAAATTGCTCGCCAAAGCCTCACCATGGATATTTTGGAGAAAGGGTCCCTAAGCTACGTCCAAGGCTTGATCCTCAGGTCCAATTATCTGCAAAAGCGAAATAAACCCAATTCAGGCTTTGTGCTCATCGGAATTGGATGGAGCATGGCATTGGCAATTGGTCTCCATCGGGAATTCGGTTTACCAAGCTCGGGTCCCTTCACCATGGAAATTCGTCGAAGAGTGTGGTGGACATTATTTGTGTTTGTCCCTGGGGCGCAACTGACCCTTGGAAACTTGCGAAGATGAACCTTGGTACCCCCATTCTCATAATCAGTTGCCCATCCTAGGATTTTCTTGGCTTTCCTGTCATAAAGGTAGCAGGTGGGTATATAGCCTGCCGCTAGACCAGTTTCATCAAATCGTCCTGAAATTCCTATTGATTCAAAATGACCTGTTGGCAGTATGAGGACCACATAGTGAGAGTCTGTTTTGCCCCAAGGCGCGCAATATAACTCGCCATCCTCTGGGTTGGTGATATACTGGTCTTGGGTCCTTGGCGAATTGGGCGGCCACTGTTGGCCGCAATCTAGTCGCAGACGTCAGGCCGGGCCGAGCTCCCCGATTTGCCACAAGCCTGCCTGCCAACCTGCGCCTGGGTGCGTAGGCGGGGCTTGGCGGGCAAGCGGGGTCGACCCCCAAAACATGCGCCATGACGATGAGTTGGGCTAGCATGTGACGTCATAAAATTAAATATACTAGGCACCGACCGGAGTATCTGTTAGAAGTTGTAAAGTACGAATATTAACACTTCCGTTGATCCTCTACTTTGGCCGTGATTCTCCATCTCGTTACATTCAATCTAGAGGCAGCTGTCAGAACACTCTGTTGGACTGTCCGAACCCGCGAGCACACCATGCGAGCTATTGTCGCCCCTGCATCACCGCAGACGGGGAAGGCCGTCATTACCGCGCTGCTTCAGCATACACCAACGTGTGAGGTGGTGGGCGTCTACCGAAATCTTGGCAAGGTTCCAGCCGCGTTTGCCAATCACCCGAGCTTCACAGCCGTGCAAGGTGATGTTGCCGATGGGCGCAGCCTCGACTTTTCCGGCTGCGACGTTGTCGTAACCATCAGCCCTCCACAGTACAGCAGCACAACCGACCCAATTGCCACGGCTAAACAGATTGCAGAGAACGTCAAAGCCGCAGTTTTGAGGGCTAGCTCGGTGAAGCGGCTCGTGTATGTCTCGACGGTTGGAGGGGAACATGAGAGTGGAACTGTACGTTATTCCCGTTTGCGTCGTCTTAGTATACGGTGCCGTTGCTTATGCGTCGTGACAAGGGGGAGCTACTTACAAATCATGTGGCCGAGGAAACACTGAAGGATGCGACCTCTGAAGTCGTCCTCGTTCGGTGTGCATATTTTATGCAGAACTGGGCATCGGCTATCTCGACCGTAACATCCGACACACCGCGGTTTTCGTCCGTCATTACTCCGGAAGACTTCGAGATCCCTATGGCAAGTTCACCTGCCACATCTAGTCCGGCTCGGAAGAGAACCGAAAAGTACTAATTCCAGCGGTAGGTATCAGTTAAGGACATCGGTAAGGTCTGCGCAGCAGAAGCCACTGCAGTTGGCGCTCCGCTCGACGTGCATCCTTACGTCTTTGAGCTTCATGGTTCTCAGTGGTACTCGACCAACGACGTCAAGAAAGCTTTCGAGGAGGTGATACAGAAGCCTGTGCACGTGGACTTGGTTACGCAGGACGAGCTTCGTTCCCATTTTGGTGCTTTCCTACCGCCCGTTGTTGCCGATTCGTTTGTTGAAATGACCCGAAGCTTTCTCCCTGGAGGATGTGCGATGCCACGAAAGGAAGGGGACGGCGAAGTGAGACTAGGAACGGAGACGTTGGTCGACGCTTTCCGTGAGATGTTGCAAGACTGAGACTCCCGTTTCTGACGATGATCACATCTTCAGTAAGTTAGTTGATTATTCTATTGGATGCGGCTTGTCAACTTTGAGCGCTCCAGAGGCTCGTCCAGGCGTCCTTAGAGCTGTTCCTTGATGGCGTATGACCTCGAATAAGCAGACTCAGTCAATACCACTCGTTCTGAAGCTATGGGACATATTGATACATTGAACACGATTCGTGCTCTGAGGCTCAATGAAGTGGCAATTAAGATCCAGTGCCTCTGAATGCCAGGGAAGTGATTTGGAATCTCAGAGTCCTGACCATCATTCACAGGCAGTTTCTGTCCAGTTGGCGCGTTTCTGCCATAGAACAGGGGTCGGGCGCTTGGGCCATTGGACTCATTCTGAACCCCAGGTGCACCAATATTAAGATTGGCACTTGGACCCAAACTTACAGTGGGGCAGGGGATGCTAACCCCAAGGGCCACCCGCCCCCAGCCATTCGGGCTACCCCAATTTCCCCATAGGGTTCAGGTAAGTGAAGGAGAGCGCTGCGGCTGCGGCTCACACGGAAGACCCCGGACGGGAAAAGGAAATGGTGAGAGGCACGCGCCGACGCGTTGTCGCGTCTCAGGCACGGGGTAAAAAAGGGAGGGTTCATCATTAGGGCAGACAGGTAGATAGAATTAAGACATATGCCAATACTTACGACTATACTTCATTTACGTCATTCGAGCTCTACTGTACAGCGGTAACTGAGGCACTACTTACCAAACCGTCCAGACGCGAAACGCGACAGCGACTACAGCGAGACCAGGCACCGCAGCCGGGCAACGTCAGGAAGCCGACATGGAAGACCATCACGACGACGCCGGAGCGCCCCCATCGGAAATGGATGTGTATCTCCACGAGGAGTCGCGCGTACTGATATGTTCGGTGTGTAAGGGTGGCATCCAGCCCGGGCCCGGCATCGAGTCCCACTTCCGGCGGAGGCACGGCGCAAAGGGTGCTGTTCTACAGCGGGTCCGGGAGAAGGCTACGACAGCCGCCGCAACGGCAGGTGGGCTGGCGGACCCACAGACAGCGGAGACACCGGCAGATGGAACGTCGCCCGTCCCAGAGCTCCGGGTGCAGGCCGGGTTCAGCTGCATAGCATGCCGCTTCTTAACAACAAACGAGATGGTGATCCGGCAGCACTGGACAGGGAGGAATTCGGAGGTGGACGACAGCCATGGTTGCTATGAGCGTTCAAAGAATAACTGGACGGCCGTAGCACTCCAGTCTTTCTCTCGAGCGAGGCGGCTTACGCGATACTGGATTGTCGACACTACCACTCCGCTACAACAAGTAACCACAGGAGAGGGAACTACGACTGGGAGCAAGGCAGGCTCGCGATCTGCCATACCGGATATAGGGTGGGAGCTGCAGCTTCGTAAGTACGAGGCGAAGGCTGCAGCAAAGGCAGAAGAGCGGCAACGTATGATCGATGAGGAAACGGGGGTCGATTTTGAGTCGCCGTGGGTCCGTAAGATGGGCTGGGCTGTGCACTTTAGAGGCAAAATGTGGCATTGCGGTTCGACATTCCCAGGCAATTACTTATCCTGAATCCTGTACCTGACTAGTTACAAGGACTCAAGCGAAACATACAGCTGTCCAATGAACCTTGAGCATAACAAATTCTCGATCTATCATCTTGTACACTCTAGGTCCTATTTCCCAGAGCCACTACAGCGGCCACGGAGGAGAAAGTCGTCTATTGGTGCATGGAGATCCTTTGAGAAGGCGCGTGCCTCCTCCCTATAGAGTAATATGGGGCAATCATGGAAGGTTCGCACCACAGCAAGCCTCACACCTCGATCACCCTCGATAATAGAGGCATACACTTGCTGTGCCGACTCTAAAAGTTGGAAATTGCCCAGAGCCCCTTTGCTGCCGCCTTAGACATCTGGAGCTCAAGAGCCTTAAACGATGGATGGGCAAAACTCTACGCGAAGACATCAAGCGAACTCTTGCAGCTCGTCGATGGTTGTATAAGCAGCAAAGATGATCTTGGGAACGGGTCTACTAAGCCAATCCCGGACACTCTCATCCACAGTACTTACGGATAAAGCGCAGACGAGTGATTTTGTCATACAGAAGTAAGGGAAGCTTAGGAAAGGCCTCAATCAGAAATAGAATTTACTGGTAAATCTAGGGTCATATGAGTCTCCATAGAAAACTGTCTCGCCATCCTTGCTCCAGCGTAGGAAGTATGAAGGAGGATCTAATCGTGCCATCTCACGGCCATCGTCTTGATCTGGAGCCCGACTTCGACCTGGCCAAGGTGAAAGCTGACCTAACCTGTGCTCGAAACGGATTTTTCTTTATCCAGCATCCAGGGAGCAGGCTGTCACCAGAAACTGCGAGTTCTCTTGATGTGGTCACGGATGGCCTCTACAGTTAACAGTTGGTTCCCATTGCTCTATGAGTTAAAACATCTTTGTGGAGGCAGCGTCAAATGTAACTAGCCCCCGCAAAATGGAGTATTCTACAAGCCTACCTTGAGAACATCATTGTGCAAAGTGGGCGTAATCGCCTTCAGCAAGAGCGATGGGTAAAAATGGTTCCAACACGTTACCTTGGAAGGATTGCGCGCAAGCCTGGTTTCTCACACATGGCGAGAAGTCAAATGTTGTATGACATTCAATATCAAACGCCAAAGTGAACATAAGGAACCCAGAGCGGCCGCCTCGGCTCCGACCCTTGTCTCAATTCAGCGTCCCTGTCCGCTCCCGATGACCATGACTTTCCGCGTCCGGCATCCTCGAACTCCACCCACTGGTCTCGGAGCGTCCTCATCGCTCGGTGAAGCCCCCGGCTTACGGTTTCATCCCGGATACCCTCATCCCGCAGAAACTCGTACGTCATTCTCGCCATGTCCACACATAACCCGTCATTTACGCTCCAAAGCGTGCCCACTACATGACGGAACCCCGCAAGCTGGCAAGCATTGGCCAGATGGATGCTCTCGTCAACAGACCCCTCATCCAGGATCTGACCAGTCCCGCATGCCGAGAGGTACGCGAGGAATGGCGGCTTCGAGGTAAGGTTCGTCTCCAGGAGGCTCGCCACCGTGAATGGCTTCCGATCCCAATCATCCAGGAGCAGCTGGCTCTCCAGCGGTTCCGTGGGATGCGTGCTGCCGTGGCCAGCAAAGTGGAACATCTTGCAGGCCTCCAAGGCCGAGGAGACGTCGGCCTTGCACGGTCGAGGCCGGGCGTGCGGCAATCCCACCGACTCGCAAACAGCTACTACGGCATCAACCTCGTCGCTCGCATGCTTGAGCGGTTCCTGTTTTGGCGTGTTCTGCATGGCAACGACAACGGCATTTCGGGACTCTCCGGCTTCCGGCGCGTGCTGTGGCCGTCGCCGACTCTGTATGATCGCCTTGACGGACGAGGCGTACGATGAGACGACTCTGTCGACCGCCGTCTCGCCAGTGCGCCTTAGATGGTGTCCCGCTGCATGGAGTGGAAACCGGGTCAGTGGGCCGGTGGGGACCCACCACACTTGCGGCCACTGACTGTCCGAAGGAGGTCCAGTAAAGCCTAGAGCATTAAGAATGGGACAGACGATGGCATCCCAGAGCCACCCAAGCGTGTCAAGAGTTCTAAGTTCCCGGACATGGTCGTTGAGCGCCTCTCGGGAGAGGTGTGGCAGCTCCAGCAATCGGATGCCGGACTGCTCAATGACCAAGGCATCGCAGCGATACGAGCTCACGTTCAGGACGACGATCGGGCCGTGCCGCGCAGCCTCCAGCATATCGGCTTCCGATGCGGAGAGGAGGAATCGCTCAAAACCGGACTTGGAACGGATCGTCTCGAGGAGAGCGGCAAGCTGGGGTCCAGCGTCGCGGCGCCGATCGCCTTCCGTCTCTGCGGCCAGAGTGGGGCGCTCGGCAGCGAGGGAACGAGCCGACGCCGGTGCGTCCAGTTGATCTCGCAGGTCGATAAAGGAACGTACCAGGTCGGGATGCTCGCGTTCGAGAGCGGCAAGGTCGGATTGCTCGAAGAGGGCTCCCGCGATGACACCACGACCAGTCTCAAGCAGTTCGATAGCAGCAGCAGGGCCTCTGTTGGCATGCAGAGCAATGGCTGTCGCGTCCGACGAGAGTCCGACAGCCGCGGAGAGGAGGTGCCGCTTGTCTGAGTTCTGCAGAGAACGGGGCGTCAATAAGGGAATCAAGTCGATCGTCGTTTTGGCAATGGCGTATGCTTGTCGATCTTGAAGTATAGCTGGGGATGTCAGAAGATGACGGCCGGCTGCGACACGCATGCTCACAGCGGAGGCGGACTGACGCAAGGCAGCGACGAAGCGTTCCTTGCCTTCCTCAAGGTCTGCCATCGCGCTTGTGCGTGAGTGTCTGTCGCCTAGACGAACTCCGAGGTTGATTAAGAACATAGCCCGGTTCGGATGATCTACCGGGGTGGCATCGATGGCTTCTCGTCCAACTCGGATCGCTTCCTCGAGGTCTGCCATCGCTCCGTTCCGCGAGTATCTGTCGCCTAGACGAACTCCGAGGTTGATTAAGAACATAGCCCGGTTCGGATGATCTACCGGGGTGGCATCGATGGCTTCTCGTCCAACTCGGATCGCTTCCTCGAGGTCTGCCATCGCTCCGTTCCGCGAGTATCTGTCGCCTAGACGAACTCCGAGGTTGCTCAACCATCCAGCCCGGTCCGGATGATCTACCGGGGTGGCATCGATGGCTTCTCGTCCTACTTGGATCGCTTCCTCGAGGTCTGCCATCGCTCCGTTCCGCGAGTATCTGTCGCCTAGACAATTTCCGAGGTTGTTCAGCCATCCAGCCCGGTTCGGATGATATAGCGGGGTAGCATCGATGGCTTCTCGTCCAACTCGGATCGCTTCCTCGAGGTCTGCCATCGCTCCGTTCCGCGAGTATCTGTCGCCTAGACGATTCCCAACGTTGTTCAAGAACATAGCCGGCTCGGGATGATCTGACGGGGTGGCATCGATGGCTTCTCGTCCTATTCGGATGGCTTCCTCGAGGTCTGTAATCGCTTCAGTCCGTGAGTATCTGTGGCCTAGAGAACTGGTTGTCCTGGTAATTCGAAGCGGCTCGTTAGTAGTCCGAAGTCTTTGCCAGGGAGGAAACTTGTCACCCACCCTTCGAAGCTTTAAAATCTAGAATAGAATCGGCCCTGGTGTCGAAATTCGCGGGTGGCGAAGCAGCGCGAAATGCGCTCGGGGTGGGCACTTAGGGACGGGCTGTAGGAATCAGATGTTAAAATGCCAATGCCTCGTGGCAGGCGAATGTGGGATCGAGATCTCAAGGATGACTGGCCCCGGCGTCGAGCTCACACAACCAATCCGGGCGCGAGCCGGGGCGCGGGTGGCTTCTCCGGACCGCGCAGCCAAATAAGGTGCCAAACCAGCCGAGTGGCGTTTCCGCTTGCCAGCGGTGGCCTGATTCGGGCTCGCCTGCTTCGTGTCAAGCGGGAGCAGCCGACACGAGCCTTCGCAATTGGGGGGCGAGGTGCCCCAACCTAAAACTGGCGCACTTCGTGGGAGCGGACCAACGTACAAATGCGCCATTTATAGCTTGGGGCACTTGGGGGGTATTGCCCTGACGAACCCCGTAGCGGAGCGGGCCCGCCGTAGCTTCTCACCGAGTCCAGCCACTTGCACCCCGCTCCTGCCGTTTGACCCCAGATCAACGCGCACGGAACTTGCCGTGGCTGCATTTTCAAGCAGGCAGTTCCTGTGCTTCCCTCACTCGCGCTGTCGTCATAAGCACGTCACGGCCGGCGTTGCTTATCTGTCCGGCTGCGCGTTGTTGCTACCAGAGAGCCGGCGCCATTCCTGGGGAGCGACCCACAGACCCACGCACTGACAAGCCGTACCTTGCCATCCCACCTCGACCCCCATTTTTTCCACGGCCACAACAACAAGAACAAAGATAAAGGACGACAGAGCTTAGTACAAATCTCTCGCTCAAGCCAGCAAGACTCAGACGACCACACATAGCTGCTGACGATCTGCCCACGTCGATCATCAGGCACAAGCACTTATACTCGGCCACCCCATCCTCACACATCACAACTCCAGTCCCTCAGCCGTGTCACATTTCCCTCACCACCGCCATCATGATCAACTCTTCCCAAGGCACGGCGTATAACCCCGAGGACGTGCAGTCCGCCTTACGCATCGCCATCGAGCAATTCCAACAACAGACCCTCGCCCTCTCCTCATCGTCGACCAGCGCCATCACCTCCGATCCGACCTCCCCCACCAGCATCACGCCCGGGCCCGGCTATTACCGCCACAGCCGGCACAGCAGCCCGCGGTCCCGCAAAGCACCCGCCGCCGTAAGGTCATTGCCTTCGATCTCTATGGCACCCTCCTCTCTACCGACTCCATCGCACACGAGCTCGCCAAGCACTATGGCGAGGAGGCCGCCCCGGGCATTGCAACACTATGGCGCCGATTCCAGCTCGAATACACCTGGCGCATCACCAGAATGGGCGAGTTCAAAAACTTCCAAGAGATCACCCGTAGCGCCCTCGGTCACGCTCTCATGGAGCACAGCGGCATCAAACTGACGGCCAAAGCTGCCTCTGAACTGATGCGTGCCTACGACTCGCTACACGTGTTTCCCGATGTCGAGGCCGGCTTGAGATTGCTCAAAGACGCCAAGGAGGGCAAGACACTGGAGGAAGTCACAGAAGAGGGCGAAGGCGAATACACCACCAGGAAAGAAGTTCCATCCCCGCAGTCGTTGGACGTAAGAGACAACGCAGGCCGCAGCTCATCGAGATCATCAGCCTCGTCATCCTCTTCATCATCACTGCCCGAAATTGACGCATACATTTTCACAAACGGCACGTCCGAGATGGCGATGCGGTCCATGGTCACCTCCCCCGAGCTGTGGCTCCATACCAAGGCGTCGAAGCGCGGTCTGTTCAGTGATCCGGGCAGTATCGTGTCTGCCGACTCGGTACAATGCTACAAGCCAGACCCGCGGGTGTACCAGCACCTGCTGGATGTCGCTGGCGTGCGCACAGAGCAGGACAAGCGCAATGTCTGGGTCATCAGCGCAAACCCGTTTGACGTGGTTGGTGCCAAGGCAGCGGGGCTTCGGGCGGCGTGGATCCACCGTGCCGGGAAAGGCTGGGTTGATCGTCTCGACGAGATGAGGGTCCCTTCAGTCACAGCGACGGGGGTGGATGAGGCTATCAAGGCAATCTTATCGTGGAATTGAGCTTCCTCGAGTAGTAGCGGGAGAAGCATGGACGGGGGTTTGGTGATTCTAGAACAAGGAAAAGAAGCACTTTCATTGGTAGCAGAAGGTCGATATTTTCGACTACAGTATTACTTAAAGGGGGTCTTCGAGTTGATGGGCCTTGGCTTGCCTCGTTATTCAGGTAGAAGCTGAGCATATTCTGGCTGAACATAGTGTATAAAACCCTCTACAAGATTGGCTCTTGTGTAAGGACTAGTGTCCTAGGGCGAGCGTAAGCACTCCCAGAAAGGGCCTAACTCGCACCAGTAACGAATTAATGGTGCAGCACTTGTGAGGGAATCTCTTCTCATGGCATTTTCGATGAGTTGAGACAATGTCCTACTGTATGCTGTGGAGCAAGGTGACTGCCAGAGCGACCGCATCTTCCCCGCTCTCGCCGCCATAAGTGACCTGTTAAGTAGTCTCCATTAATGGATCACAGCGCTTTGGTACTGAAGTTCTAGAGTACTAATCATGGCCCTAGCTCCGCAAAACTGGGACCCTGCATTGTGATGGGGCAGGGCGGAACAGCGTGATCAGGGGTCAGGTAACAGGGGATAGGTGCATAAATCGGTACCTGGAGGACATGGACATAATACCACCACACTTCGTGCATCACCAGATTTCTTTTCATCATCAATTCCAGCGCTTCTTTTCCAGCCAATTCAATTCGCCATGCCGTGATCAGACATTCCCTCAATTGTATTATTCAATTCAGATTGCGGTTGTGGCCCTACGTCGTATCGCGACGCCTCCGCCAGACAGGAATTAACCGTGCCGACCAAGGCGCACCACTCCGTCTTTACGAAAATCACAACTTTTCCCACGACAGCCCTACGGGTGCCGGAACACTCTTATTCGATTCCGCTTGGAGTGATCAGTCCATCCCTCAAAAGTCCTTCCCAAAAGGAGCAATCCTCTAGGGAAGGCTGGCTCCCTCACCTTAACTGAACCGGTGGTAATGCAGGGCATTACCACGCCGTGGAACACTACCACCGCAACCTGGCCAGCAATGGGAAGTGGTTTGTTTTGGGGTTTGTTTTACCTCTGATCAGACCATTCCTCATTCGCCCCAGCTCAGTACTTGAGCGATCAATCTAAGTATCATTCTCACCCATCACTTGAACCAGTCACTCAATTGACCGAGAGTGGTATCTCTTCCCAGAGACACGGCAACACCCAGAGAGAACGACAGTTGAGAGTCAGTGATATTGCGAAGGCTTTACCTATCTTACAGAACACGAACCCCAGCGCCCAGCTGCGGTTGACCCCGTCAGTTGGATCGTGACAAACCAGTTAACAAATTGCGTCCATAAATTTCCTTGTTCCCGCCGAAGTAATCTAGAATTGTCTAGACAACATTTGGCCGACTTAAACACCATTAGCAAACTACCTTACGGCCCGGCGTACTGGAACCGGACTTAACTAACAAGTCGCCGCGCATCCTACTTTATTATCCCAGCCGCACTATCCGACCTACTATAGCCTACCACCAAGTAGAATCGCCGCGGCTCTCCTGAAATGTAAGTCGACGGCTATAATGTGTACTACGGATACTTAATTACATATTACCTTGCTAGAACAATGTCGTTTTCGGATTCTGATTCACCGAAGGCAGCCGTTGATGCCCAAGACTCGCTGTCATGCATTACAAATTGAGGCTGGATTAGGGGGTGAGGTCGATGCCCCGAGTCATTTACCCAGGCGCTACGGAGTACGGCCGGAGCACGGGACTGCCGGACCCCGGGTCGTAGCCCTGCCCCCCTGACTTACTTCCCTGCCTGACACAGGCCGTTAAAAATAGAGTTTCGCCATTGAACCCAGATTGTATGATCACTACTCCGCGGACGCTATCCGATAAGGCACAGCCCTCTAGGCACAGGACGTGAAAAAGCACGATATGCGTGCTCTTTGGAAGCGGGCTTCTAGCCCTCGAGACTCTAAGTTATCTTCACATCTACATATCCTTGGCATTAGTAGCAGAAGCAGAAGTAGCAGTAGCAAGTAAGATATGGCGGTCGACTAGCGGAAGCATAGAGACGCAGACAAACCAGCCGATGACCCCGCCGCAAGAGACGAGGCCAGCAATGGCAAGGCTCGCGGTGGGCTGTAGTTGGCTTGCAGGGACACGCGAACGCGGATGACAGGACGAGTGTTCGATGATGACATGACGGGGATTGGCCGGAACTGCCGGAGCTTGCGACGCCGTTGCCGCGAGTGACCGCCACACGGCAGTCGAAGTGACGCATCTTCAGACCTCGATGGTCGGGGCGGCACAACCACAGCGCCCGAGTCGCCGTGGCCAATCACAGACTATTCAGACCGCCGTTCCATGGCCCCTGGAGCACCTGGAGCCGTCCCGCCGGGCCCCCGAGTTGTGCACGGCAGGGGACGGGCCCTCCTCTGCTGGGACGTCCCTTGTCGTTGTCGTTGTCGTATCCTCCGTATCCGTATTGCACGACGTAATTATGTCTCCGAGATCTCTGCAGCATTGTCCCCTCCCCTTTGGCGTCCGCGACGCAAACCGCCGTGGCCACCTTGGATCCACCGCTGCGACTTGCATATATATAGGCAATGTCAACATGGCATGACCTGTAAGACGTATACACAATCAACATCAACCTCTTCAAAATCCACACGGGCACAACACTGGCCGCAGCATTCCGATGATGGCCTCTACATTGCACATGACGGGCCTCCTGGCTCTGGCGGCAAGTCCAGCCTCAGTCCTGGGTCATGCCTTCCTCCCCTGCTAACATTGTCCATCTCTCCCCACCGCAGTCACTCGCCTACTTCGTCGCCCAGAGCATCTACCGCGTCTTCCTACACCCGCTGGCCAAGGTGCCCGGCCCCTGGCACTATGCCATCACCGACCTCTTCTACGCCCGCCGCCACGCCGGCGGCAACTGGGACCCCCACCTCAAGACTCTTCACGACAAGTATGGCCCGGCCGTCCGCTACACCGCCAACCAGGTCTCTTTCAACTCTGCCGAGGCCTGGCACACTATCTACGGCCACAAGACGCAGGCCCGGCAGACCTTCAGCAAGGACCCCTTCTTCTACACGCAGCCGGACAAGACAACACCCAATATCATCGACGCCAACAACGACGACCATCGCCGCATGCGACGCATCCTCGCCCATGCCTTCTCCGAAAAAGCCCCCCGCGGCCAAGAGGAGCTCGTCAACGGCTACGTCGACCTCTTCATTCAGCGCATGGGTGAGAAGGCCGCTGCTGCGGAGCCCATCAATATTGTCCTCTGGTATAACTTCTGCACCTTTGACCTCATCGGCGCCCTTGCCTTCGGCAAGCCCTTCGGCATGCTTGAGAGGGGCGTCTACCACCCCTGGGTTGCCATGATCTTCGAGAGCATCAGGATCCTGAGCTACGGCCAACTTTTGAACCGCTACCCATTCCTTAAGCCCCTCGCCGCGCTGCTGACTCCCAAGAAGCTTGTCGACAGCTTCGCCGAGAACAACCGCTTAAGCCGCGAGACGGCTTTGCAGCGCCTGCACTCGGGCGACCAGGACCGCGAGGACTTCATGTCTTACATTCTTCGCAACAACAACAGCGACGACGAGAAGGTGAGGGCCCGAGGTCTCTCCGAGGACGAGATTGCCGAGAACGCGATAATCCTCATTACCGCCGGCAGCGAGACGACAGCCACACAACTCAGTGGTGCGACCTATATGCTGCTTATGAATCGAGACAAGTACGACACGCTCGTTGCCGAGATCCGTGGGGCCTTTGCCTCTGCCGAAGAAATCACAATGAATTCGGTCAACAACCTCGAGTATCTAATCGCTGTTTTCAGCGAGAGCTTCAGAATGTGTAAGTCGTCTAGCCCTTCCAGCATCGGTGACCCTGTCATGGATTCCACTTTCATCGGGTGAAACATCAAGCTGACAACGAGCGGCCCGACAGACCCTCCTATTCCCATTGCCCTGACCCGTATCGTGCCCGAAGGGGGCGAAACTGTCGGCGGTCACTATCTTCCAGCAAAGGTTAGTGCTAGATGCTATGCCCCATCATCACCTCCAACACTGCGGCACACAACACGTCCATCGCTCGCTCCCTAGAGCCGCAAGGCTAACAGGAGTTCAGACCGTTGTCGGTGTGCACCAATGGTCGTCCTACCAGTGCGAGCAGAACTTCTTCGAGCCCCAGCGCTTCCTTCCCGAGCGCTGGCTCGCCAGCGTCAACACCACCGATCCTCGCTTCGTCAACGACAAGCGCGACGTCCTGCAGCCCTTTTCAGTCGGGCCCAGGAACTGCATTGGCAAGAAGTGAGTCGTCAATCACTTTGGGTTGAAAAGATGCCGAATTGAGATCCAGCACTAACGCACACTGCCAACCGCACAGCCTGGCCTACGCCGAGATGCGCCTGATCCTGACCCGCCTGCTGTACAGCTTCGACTTGGAGCTCCTGCCGGAGAGCAGGGACTGGGCCAGTCAGCGCATCTACACGCTGTGGGAGAAGGGCGAGCTCATGATCAAGATCACACCTGCAAAGCGCTGAGTGAGGAAAGAAGAGCGGGGGAGGCACTCACATAAGGGTACGAAGGTAAATTGGAGTGGAGTCCCCCCCGTGACACGCGCAGGTCCATGTGGGCGGCATGATAGGAAAGGAATCAAATACGGAGGCGATTGGGGGCTCGGCACTAAGAATGTTCGTCGAGGCATCCCTACGCAGATATTTGCAGAGGGATAGGCAGATGTGATCGCAGCAAGATCCTCACAGATGGGCAGAGCTCGTCGAGGCGGGTATTTGAGCATGTCGAAGTTCTGTTTTTGGAAACTTTTCTACCAAAAAAGCCAGCGACTAACTTAGTCTGAATAACATTACCAATCCCTCTTATCAGCTGTGGTGCCGGGCTGGACCCTGACCCCACCCGCCCGACTGGACACTGCTCGTCCGCCCTGCCCCCTTGAAACCCGCGGTGGCAGAGGGAACGACTTTAGCCACCACCCTTAGCCTATTAGCTACCCGCCAGCTGTTCCAGCCATCTCCAACCACACCAGGGGGAAAGGTGGGGGGATGGCTGTGGGACTCATGGCGACTGCAGCTGGGATGCCCGAAAAGGCGCGCCAACGGGCAGGTTGCGCCATGGGGCAAGGTGCACGAGAAAGCCACTAAGATCGTGTTCGTCTGATGCACCAACCAGGTGTTACAGTATTCAAGATTACAAGTGTTATTGATCTGGGTTTGTCTGGGTTTGTTTGGGTTTGTTTGCTTGGCTTTGTTGAAGCCCCACTTAACATTCAAGCGAACCAGTGGGGGTTTGTATAGGTTTGTTCTTGTTTGTTTGGAACCCCAGTGACAACCGTGGGGGTTTGTTCGGATTTGTTTGCATGCCTTGACATGGACGGATTGAGCCACGCTATGGAAGCAGGAATGGGTTCCTGGCGCAAAAGCTGTTTCGCGAGCCAGCTGAAATGTTTTCCAAGTCATCAGGCGCCTTTATAGGATGGTGAGGTTCTTCGCTGTTTGCACTCGGCTAACAAGCAGTCCCAGGCCGACAATTCCTGCGATGTGACTTCCACGCGACAACAATGGATAGCGATGATCTCCTGGAATGGATGTCCCGCTTCAACAACCAACTGAACAACATTTGCGACAAGGTCAACAATCTTCAAAGCGAGCTTCAGACTGTTCGTCACGATGTGCATCGACTATTATCCCAACGACAGACAATTGCTAGGGCAGCGGTCCCACGCACAACAAGACCACGAGGAAAAGTGAAACTTTACTTCCCGGACGGGACAAAGTCTCCCCACCATACCCTACGTGACACTCATCCAATTTGCCTTTTTAAAGCAAGGCAACAACCCGATGTCTGTCAAGTCCTTGTATCAATGGCTAGCGTTAAAAACGGATGTCCATGATTTAAAGAAGTCATCATGGCAAAACAGTGTTAGGCACGCCTTGAGTTCAGATGATGGGTTTTGGAATGACAAGGAAGAGAAGGTGTGGCGCGTCGACCCAAGCAGAACCGCAACACTGCACTATAGTGAAAATTGGCAGTACTTCCTTAAGGCTTTTCCCGGCTTTATGGACGATACAACCTTGTCTGTATACCCGGCACTGTTAGAACAGCCATCACCATCCCACAATGCCAGATTTTATCCCTTCGAAAAGGATGTTTTTGGGGGAAACCTAGACGACGCCACTTATAGAAACGTCTTGAATGAGCTCAACACGATCGATCAAGACACTGATGGACCTATGAGCCTAATTACGCAGAGCCACAATTACCTATTCTGAATTAGATACATTCGGTCGCACCCAGCATCAGGACTTTCATTTCACTCGGACATTAAATCCTCATATTCTCTTTCCGTGCTGAGAACGTCATCTACAGCTTCACTCTTACGACGGCACGTCTAGGTTGATGCACGATCCCTCTTTTAATAGGGCCCCTCCGCAGGAGCAGCTTGGCAACAACGAGATTCCGGGCACTCGATTCGTGCGCAGTAAAGGCTACGCAATCGCAAGCGCGATTCAGAATAGCGAAACGAGTATGCGGACTGATTGTGAAATATGAATGTGGACCAGATTGTGGGCTCCCTAACTTGTAAGCAGATGTTGGTGAGCAATTCTTGGAGACTAGAACGAGAACGCCCTCGTCGAAGTTGCTACTCTTTGACCAGAAACTGCGCCGGGCGTCGCTTTTAACTTGTTAAACATGGTATAGTATCACCAAGGCTTTCGTTCACATGCCTCTACGACTCAGCAATGCTACACGTTCTAGATCCGCTCTGGGGTGTCGCTCGTGCTGCTGGGATCAAGGAGGGATCACACTCTTGCGACTGGCAAATGACTGTAATGCAGCCCACGCGGCGCTGCTGTACGGATCAATTAACCCACTCCCAAAATCTAAACAAAGGCATCTCTCGGCAACGAAGCCTTCCCACTTGGAGAAGGCAGTGTCCAGAATGCTATGCCATATATGTCACCAAGAGCTCATTAAAGTCAGGTATTGCAGGTCGCTCGTCAAAACGGCATCGATGCCCATCGCGCGGTGACGGTCCCTCATCCCCTCTGTTCGCAATAAGACTTCTCCAAGCATTCGACTCCCTTCATCAGACACAAAGTGGAGACCACTGGCCCGAACTTGTTGCTCAGCTCTGTCTTCGTCTGACACTCTGGTATTGGCTGTCTCTGGCACCTTGCGGCATCATTTACAGACTTTTACCACACATATATGACTCTGCCGAGGTATCTATGCTTGTAACATGTGTCACTTTGACCGCGCCTTGCCCGTCACTGTGGTTCCAGGGCGAGGTGTATCTCACACCGTTGGAGCACCTGTGGTTAGCCACACTCAATGCTTTTGGTTGAGTGGACGTAGAAAAGCCTTGAGCGCAGCACTCTGGTCACCGTTCACTCTTGCTCCTCCAGCCAGGGGAAAGACCTTATTCTGCTGCTTCGAATACTTCTTGAGCGCCTTGATAGTTGGAAAAGTCTTTAGATTGCGAAGGAGCTCACTCGTTGAGGCCTGAGAGTTACGAGACGCGATCGCGTGTCGCGCGCAGTGTAACAGGTCGAAGATGTTGACATGAATTGCCTGTAGGATCTGAGACGTGCGGAGCACAAAGCGTCAGCTATTCTGGGCAGTAAAAAGACGCAGCAATTGGCCGGGAAAAGACGGCCGGAGCATATCCAACTGGAGATGGAATGAGGCTCACCCTCTTGCAACTAGTTATTGACCGTCCGACCTCTCCTCCAGTGACCACGGCACGGCATAGCGCCTGCCATGCAGCTAGATCGTTACTACTGCCGTAAAGATCCTCTAGCTCTATGTCAATGGCCTTGTGAAAACGCTTACTTAGAGCTTCGATCTCTTGGTAGCTCTTGCGGTCACCATGGTACTCTTTGAGCTGCGCAAAGCTGAGAGAGGACGTAGTGAATGGGTCATATTTGAACCCCTCAAACGCCCGAAAGAAGCGATCCAATTGCGTATCGATATCGACGTTCGGAGAGGGACCTTCCACACAGACGATAGCAGTGCATAATGAGTCCTCGCTGGTAGGTGTAAGTTCTAGATCTGACGACGACGAAGAGGTCCATTGGTATGTGACATCCAAATCCTGGCAGCGAGCGCATAGTAATGTGAAGTCCTTGCCACAACATGGACATGTGTGCGCCATGTTACAGGCTTTCGCTGATATGTGGCTTGGATCGTGAAGTTCTTGCCCTGGCCGGAGGACGCGAAGTGTAACGACCTCACGGACGCAGACGCCTCCCAGCCAGCGTTGCAAAGAAAGGCTCGCTGGGGGATAGGGAGCTTGGCAGCATTATCACAGGGGCATGTCAGGCGATACTGTCTGAAAGGGGTCGGGCAATAGCAAACTTTTCGTTCGAACTTTAAACAATAATCCTGCTGGTGTGCTACGCTAAGAGTCTGTCGCAATGGCCTACCAGCCACTTGCCAGGCGAATCAAATACCATCCGTTATTGAAAGAACTTTTCACCGCAGAATGTTTGTGTGCAATAGCCCTGTTTGTCGTGCATTGTTGGTGTGTACTCCCCACCTCTTCCCAATCTCTCCTTCTCACCCATCTGACTGGATTGAGCTTTCCGCCACACCCCACGCCGCCCTCTCCTCCCCCACCCATCTCGGTGATCTATCATCAGGCAAAAACGCTGAGGCCCATCATCTCTGTGCAACATAAGCCGAGTCGTCGTCCGGAAAAAAGACAGTCCATGGGCGTCGCACCTCTGAGATTAATCGCAATAAACAAGAAATTGTACACTTCGTCTGCATTGCGTCGGCGTGGGGGGAGTAACTGCGTGTCTCCATCTTGGCAAATTGCCCTTGAGGACCATGTTCCATTTAGGGCCAGATCAAAGTCGTCAGTGAGACGTACGCTACGCAGGGGAAGACGTAAGCCAGTCGAGAAGAGCAGGTGCACGATTGCCACACAAAAAGACTAGATGCACAAAGTAGCATGGACCGGTCTCGAGTTGCATGGATAAATCATACAGAACATTGAGGAGGCATTTCCCACATTTAGCACAATAGGATGTGTCTTTGCCCTTCCTATCCCAACTAGCTCTTGGGATTATGTAAAAAGGCGTCCAGCCGCCGCATCAATCTGTCGTTCAGAGCTGCTCGGACCTTCACATCTAGAAGTGCGACCTTGTACCCGATTTCTATCGAGCACTGTAGCTGTTCTTCATCACCCAGACCGACTTGGAAGACCTGGACATTTGGATGACAATATGGTGAATTTTCGGGCTCCCGGACGAACTGGTTCAGGATCCCCTCCAAATTCGGAATAGACCGACTTCGAGGAATGTCTATTTTGATCGCCGTTCGACTTCCCTTGCTCCGGGATCGATTCTCAATGAACAAGTTATTCAGGATAATGTTAGAGATCTGCAAAGTCTCGTGCGTGTCGGAGCGAGAGAAAACCGTGAAAAGCAAAGATATCTTTATCACAATGAGCTGTTCCCTTTCGGTGTTCGTAACGACTAAATCATCACCAACATCATATGGGTGCTTTACAAAGAGGAATATGCAGGACCCAATAAACTCCTGAGCAGTCACTGCAAACATGAATGACATTGACAGAATCATTGTCCCGGCTGTTGCGATGCTTGTTAACAATGATGCTTGGAAGAACGAGACTAGAGCACGTTATGTTAGCCTACCGCGAACAAGAAAGGTAGCTTGGCTTCTCTTACAGAAAATTAAAAGGGTAATAAAAACGACTACGCATAAGCAGACCTTCTCCAGCGATCGGATAGCTTGGGCCATGTCGGTCTCGTTGCTAGTAATTGCACGATACTCCTGTCCAATCTCTTTAATCCTGCGACCCCACTCTTCATTTGATAGATTTGTAGTGACAAGGCTGCAACTAAACAGCTCGTTGAGTGGCTCTAGTTTACCGCGAAACTCGCTTCTTGAGATAGTGTTGACCTTTTCGAGACCAAGTTCCTCCCAAATACTTGCGGCGAGCTGCTCGGTAGAGGCCTCCTCTTTTAGCATTTTGAACACATTATGATCGTCTAGGGGATTTTTCATCACGAGCCTCTTAAAACAGTTCCTATATGCCAGTTGTCGTTCCTGCGGCGGCTTACCCTTCCTATAAAGCTTTTGAAGATTGTCCGCATCCTTTTTGTTGCCTGCTTTCCGGAGCTGAAAGGACTGGTGCTGGTAGCTAATCGATACGAGTTGTATAAACACCTTCTCCCCGAGAAGAACCCCTGATGCGATGAAGCAGGATATGAGGATGTTACTACAAGTTGTGACCCATTGAAAGTCGCCATGGCCTCTCTCCATGACAGCCTTATATGTCATCCATGATGCTAAGAAGGCCAGGAATCCCGCGATATAGTTCTCAAGCAGGTAGAGAGCCCTTTCATACCTAGGCTTTGTTATGCTAACAACGCCGCAGAAGAATTTTATCATGGAAGGTAGGACGTGTGCGAATGCTTTGGCTCCCCAGAGCGAGATCCAGGTGGCTTCAGCCCATATGAAGAGATCCAGAACCCGCGGACCGGAGACAACGACGTTCCCGGTTTCAGTGTTTACAGTCAGCTCGCCGAGCTTCGGTTCACTGCCCTTAATGCTTTTGATTGCTAGCAAAGTGCCAATTGGTATGGCTAGAATGATGGCGATGGGTAATATGTACAGTACATATCGGCTGGCGGTTGGGAGCTTATGAACATTTCCGTATAATCTTCCTATTGAATTGGGTTGTTCTCCCTTTGAATCGGCTTGTTCTTCTTCTCTGGGCTCGGGAGACTCCAACATATACCGTCTGCACAGAGGGTCCTGACCATATATATAGTTCTCCATTCCGTTTGAAAAGTTAAGGTCTGTAGAATCATAGACAGTTTTTATTCTAGTTCCCTTACATAACTATTACATTGAAATATCATTGTAGTTACAGTATGCGAGAAGGCTCTGTCATACTGTTGACTTGCGAGTAAATAACCTTATTCTGAAAAGAACATTTATTACACTGTAGCGTCCCTAGATTTCAGAAGACGTCATGAAGTGCGTTACTGTTCTGGGCGTTGGGCAGTTATGTCAGAAGGACATCTGATGAAACGGGGTGTGGCCCGAACATCCATGGAAGTAATGTTGATAAAAGCCGCGCTTTTTTAGCTGCCGGAATGCACGCTGAATTAGATGGACAACAATTTGACAAGATATATATAGGTCTGTGGGTGATACTGTTTTATTAAGCACATTCGCCTGCTTTTCCTCTATTTCAAATTGTATGATATAGTTATTCATGGGCGTACTAGTATGTTTACGTAGTTAGATTTTATGGGTACGACCGCCAAGGAGGACGGAGAGTATGGAACTATGAGGATAAGCTACAATCTGATGCCACTACTCGCGTAGTACGGTGTTACGATCCGATGTTCGGAGTCAACTGTCTGATCGGCGCTGTAGGGCTTATCTCCTGACAAGGTAGGTAGGACCTTGCGCAATACTGGCTACGTGCTGTCGTCCTCTCTGGGGTTGTCGTTCGTGTCTCTTGTGAGATAACACACATTGATCAATTGAGTGACTACGTCGAGTGAAGGGTAAGGGTTACACTTAGATTGATCGCTGGAGTACAAAGGGAATGGCTGTCTACAAGAAGATCCACCGTTCTATATATCTTTGTTCTTCATCGGTGTGTCCCTTATTCCTGCTACGTCGATGCGTCGCATGGGAACGAGTCGTCGTCGCGACCCAACTGCTGGTGGTCGCATGCCCACTGTTCAGTGTCGGCTGCTGACGTACGGTAGAGTGATCACCTAAGATCGCCCGCCAATCTTTGCTGGCCCGCCCTTGTCCCTGGCCTGATCATGCGGCCTTGTTTGTGCTGCGCTTCTTTGTTACTTCAGCCCCAAGTAGTTCCCCTATGGGTTGGGCCGTCATATAGGGCCTGTTTGATAACCTTCTCCCGGATGTAATGCTTTGTCCTCGACTCCTGCCTGGAAGGCATGGTGGAAAAATCGCAGGGCATGATATAACAGCTCGTAGATATTAACTTCTACACAAGCTGTCCCCTTGTCGTGGTCCTTGCTAGTTCGAAATGAGATTGAACTACTATAATGTAGGCGCCATCCAATCGAGAGCAGTAGGATTAATAGATATAGGGCTGAGCATAGCATGAGGGCCTATGAGATCCATGATGCCGTGGTCTTCCTTCGTCCCTAGATCTATATCCGTGTCCAGAATACTGGTGCTGATCTCGTCATATATCCTTTGGGTATCCTCGTCCAAGTTGAGATCGAAATCCAAGACACCGAGCTCGGTGTTATCGGAGAGCGTAGAAAGTGCCATTGTTGGCACGTCGACAGTGCTACTTATGAAAGGGTCGTTTTGGAGGAGGCCTGACATTAACATTGCAGGTGTCCTTTGGGCCATAGGGATATTATATAGTATGGAGTACAGGGCTGACATGTCGTTGCGGAAGACGGCATCACTTATAGAACTCAGGGTAGACTCGAGCTGCTCGATCTTTTTCTTTATCGACTTCTGCTCTTCGAGCTTCTTCCTGCGATGCTTTTGTTGCGCTAGCCGATTCTTTTCTTTTCGCATTAACTCAGTCTGTCGCGCCATATTGTCTGGTGAACTTGTTTGGATTGGCCTTAAGGGCTCCTTTCCTCCTGAGGGTCATCGCCTCTATATCTTAGTCTTTCTTCGTTCATGATCGTGCTCAACCACTCTGAAGTCCCAAAATACCAGTATTTGCCTAATGATGCTGTCACCAGCATCCTCCAGAGGCTAAAAATGCACCAAGATCTGAAACACTGCATTATGTGAACTCTCTCGACATCTTGTCTCCACTTCCACCGCGGCCCAAAATAGCCGCGTCTGAAACCAAAAGATTATGTCACTTCTCCGTGAAAGGACACGTGCTGAGTCTCTGCCTCGTGTCAACCCTCTGTATTCGAGTTGTGAGCGCGAGTGTTCCCTCTCCGATTGGCGCTAACAAGAGATATGACATACGTTCGACAAATCGCCGTAGACTGCAAAACAGGCAAGTGATCACTATATGACAAGTGCTACTGCTTTCCATGCATTGACACAGCGAGTCTCTACTTTCCACATCAGCCATGGACGGTACATGCATTTTGTGTCACAAGAGACGGTCCTCTAGACGGAAGACACAGGACACTGTCGACCGCTACATATGCTCCAGGTCGAATTGCGGGTGGATCAAGAACTTGATTAACCCAGTAACCCATAACAGCCCATGTCCCGTCAAGGTCGAGATTCACTGCTACCCACAAAGTCCCAGTGCAAGTCCGACCTCTGGGGAACCAACGAAGGAAACTACACTACGCCCCCAGCATTCGATTGCGGATCTCCACGGCCAGGAAAGAAGATACCAGCCATTCAGACATCAGCCGCAAGTGAACTTCTCGACAAAACCAACAAGGACCGATCTTGCCGGGTCTAGCAGGGCAGGCATCCGCGCCTACGAACTATACTAACAACTTCATACGATTGTCGCCTGTTTCTCCATAAAGCCGTTATCCTAAAAACGGGGCAACGCATACTTCTTCCATGCGCAACCAATCCGAAACATTCCGAAGCCAGGGCTCAATATGAGTAGCCCTACAAAGCTGGCCCTTCTCTAGCGTAGGGGGAGAAGTCGGCCTGGAGTCAAAGAAATGCCAGCACTTATCCGTAATCTGATAGTTCACCAGCGGTTTCGAAGATTTACTTCGCTTCTCAACCGGCGCATTGCAGAGGGTGACTCAATTCACCCCACGATGTCCTTTGTCTTCTGACCTCTAGGCTTTTCAGTTTATTGAATGGTTAGATCTTACAACCATAAGATCAGCCGGTTGGGATTCTACTACTGCTTGATAATAAGCTATATGGTGGAATATTTATTGCGTTAAAGCATGATAATGCATGCTCTCGCTGTGTATCTTAATCTCACGCCATCTCTCTTATCCAAAATTCTACTTTCACTTTCCGCTGTTTGACGTCTCAGAGTTGGTCCTTCATGAAGGTGGCCTGGATAAATTGAACGAGGGCGTCAACGTCCGCTTTTGTGGACATAGCACCTACACTTGCTCTAACCACCCTGAGCAATTCATGAATGGTCAGCGGTCGAAGCCACAAAACTCAGATGTGACGTGGAAACTACTGCTGAAACAACGGAAGGACTGGGGTCATAGGTGCTGGGGGCTACCAGCACAGTACTGATAACAACGTAGAAGATTCCTATACTAAACAGAATACTTACCCGGTAGGTGTCCCATGGAGGACACCTTTGGCTGATCTGCCACACATGGAGCCTGCTTGTAGTGCGCGATGCAGCATCCATGACTCATATCCAAGGACTGCGTAAATTCCTCCGGGATTGCACACTCCTACATTCTCGATGTCAGCGTCAAGAGTATCATCATGCCAGTTATCAGCTCACCCGTGCATTGCTCGGCTCACCTCCTGGCCTGACATATATTCCGGCTTGATTCGCTGCTTCTTCAACTTCCGTGAAAGGAACATATTTCCCATTATGACCGATGATATTGAAAGCAACTGCTGAGCCATGTCTGAAGGTGCTCCCGACGGAGACATCGTCTTGCTTCTGGTGCTTGTAATGGTAGATTCGACACACTGACCGCTCATTGTAGTGCCGCAGCGCCACGAGCCCTTGCTGCAACGGGGTGACAAGATAGTGTGTATGGTCAGACACCACCTCCATCGACATGAAAAGTCGTTGGTGCGAATCGATGGCTTCGCCAAGGGCGAGAATGCTATGGAAAGGGAGAGTCCCATCCTCCAGCCCTTCATGCAGATTATCATCAGGTCCTTCTTGGCCCTTGGAACGGTGAAAGACGTCCTCGATCACACCGACAGCCTCGACCGTTCCACCTCCGAAATATCTCCTAAGACTCAATATATGGCCAGACTCTCTGCGGACAACCAGAGCCCCTACGTCCGGGAAACCGAAGATCTTATAGAAAGACAGGCATGTGAAGTCCGGTGATGATGCTGGATCTGAAAACACTCGAGACATGGGAAATGTCATAGCCAACGCTGCAGCATCCAGCAGCGTGTATGTATTCTGTAAATCGTCAGCATGGCGCACGTGCCCTACCCATTCCAAGGGCAGTCGCCTGCCAGTCAAGTTCGATTGGGCCGGGTACGCAAACAAGCCTAAGGAGTGGTGATCTGGCAGTTTGACATCGGCAGTAGCTGGCTGACGAAGCCAGTCTTCGACCTCTTCATCACTCTCGAAGCAGTGGGACTGGTTGTTCGACCACTCACGAACTCCAACGAGGCTGGTATGCGCGTCCCTGTGATATCCGTACCAGAATGATTTCGAACGTGTCTTCTCTCCCAAGTCCCGGAAGGCTTCCCCTACAAGCTTGATAGCTGCTGTAGCATTTGCGACAAAGACAAGATCGAAGTGTTCCGGATTGGCACCCAGGAAATCTAGCGTCTTCGCGCGGACGTCTTCAACGATATTGCTAGAGAGCCTCGCGGGAGCATTTTCCGAGTGGGGATTTCCGTACAAGCCTGTCAGCATCTTCTCGGTAAAACTTTCGATCGCTGATTTCGCATATATCGTGGCTCCACTGTGGTCAAGATATACCCCTATAGCAATATAGTTCCAGGTCAGCTGTGTCGAAGAGCGTTGTATTCGTCAAATGACTCTATGATTCGCTATGCTTGGGAGTTCTTAGTAGCTCACCGTTGTTCATATGCGGATACTCAGCCGCCCTAAGTCGATCGACATTCTCGTTATAGTTTCCGGCCATCTTGCTGATGGAGCACATGCTAACAACTCAGCCTAGCGAAAGCCTGAAGGTTACTCTTATTTGGAGCTATCAGTGTCGGGGACGAAATTAAGCAATCAAAGTGGCAACTAACGAAGACGTGCAGACATCAACGAGTACTGTATTATACATGACACTGTACTGTACTCACGCGCTGATTAAGATCGCTTTCAACCTATATTTGTTTACAATCGATAATTGATGTATGGTCTTGTTTGCGGAGCCGACGATAGCTGCCCCGCCTTCTAGTGCGCCTTTCCGTTCTGGAAGTGCCACCACACCCTTGGACAGCCTAGACAGCTGATTGACTATGGGAATATAGCCCATCTCGTCCTCGAAGGAACCTGCCATGGGCTTTCCGAGCCTTTTGCTATGGGGCGTAGATGATCAGGCGATTTCGCGGTTGGTGCATCAGGGGTGTATACTCTCAGATTCATATATCGCTGACGGCCTGCGACACACGGCTGCATTCGTGCCAGAGCCTTAGGTCGCCTTCAGAAGCGAGGAAGCTTGGCCTTGCCAAGGAAGTTGTCAACTACCCAAGCACCAGCTGGCGGCTAGCTGTAATTGTGCTGATTTTGGAAATGGGCTCATGATGAACGGTGTGCCAGGCGATTTGGTCTACTGCTTCTCGAGCTTCCAAGAACTCTCCCTGCCTCTGCCCACGAGCAGCCGCTCGAGTTGACCACCGACCAAGTACCTGATAATACTAGTAGAGCTTACAGCGACGCGATCTGCGTCATCAATACAACGTAACGGGTACATACCGTACCGACGAATATGAGCGATGCGCTTTGACTCGAACGCAGCGAGCGAAGATATGACTTGTGCGATGCTGTCGACCAAGACGGCAGAAAGGTACTATAGTAGAAATATACAATACCCCACGGTGCAGATATGTTAGTTCTGGGCCATCTTTTCAACCTGCCGACTCCGTCATTCGCGGCACATTAGCATTGATACAAATGACCTGTTACTGTAGGAGTGACCAGATCGGAGAACTGCCTAGCAGGTCTGGTACCTGCAGTTGCTCACTTAATCATTTCAACGTACAGTACCGACGGAGCATTCGCCGATTATTCTATCCGAGCCTTCAAGCTGTACCTGTGCAACTCGGGCGCCATACACGGTATGTAGTCATGTGGGAACAACAACTCCCACAAAATTGGGCGCGCGCCAGTCGATGACCGTGGCACAGAAGCGTCACCTGAGGTTCTCGACGCATCGTTGGGTTTGTGTTGATCCGGATCGTCGAGACTGTGCTTGTATGGAAGGCGTCGTTGAAAGCTGAGCCAGGACACATGCTAAAAGACCCACTGTGGGTCTTGCTCCCCCACAGAGGATCTCGGCTCATAACCACGAGTAAACTCTCGATCATGCGGTGACGCAACGCAGAGACATCTCTACGGAAAACTGATCACGGCATAATCTGAAGGTAGGGCAGCGCATACGACTCGAGTTGCCTCTGTCCAGATGACACATGTTCTTCTGGCGTAAAGTGAGGTTGGTGGAGGGCGACTCGGGCGCCGTTGACCCCACTTTACAGGGTCTCCTACGTCTGCAGCCACGCCCCGCAACCACGGCACTCACAAGGCGCCCGAGACCTTCTCAACTTCCCCCGGGATTATGCGAATCCTCATACTGCTGCCGAGCGAGTTGTAGTGCATCAACGTTGCAGTGACGTTGCGAGTTACGAGGGCCGTCGAGATATGCATCCAGTGATGAGTCATAACCCCACGAAACCATTGAAAGGAGGGACACGAAGAATGCAAGTGAAGCGCCTGCCGCCGGGGGTGGCAGCAGAAGCGGATAGTGATGGCTTTTAGCTGAAGATTACTCACTCTCAGTGTGCTAGAAATACTCCAGGCCTCTAAGACGCGGTCAGTCACGGCCCCTATAGGACTGTTGCAGCCCTCCGCTGGCGGGACATTGCAGCAGACTTTTCATTTCGACATGAAGGCCTCTATCCGACACGAAGTTGACTTCTTTTGTGCATTCTAGGGCTGGCCGAAAGCAGTATTAACGTGCAGCAATATGCAGTCTCAAGGTATCTGAGCCGCCGTATTGCACCTGCAACTCAACACATGAGTCACTGAGCGGGACATGATCAAGATACTCAAAAGTCGCAACTCAGAGAGTTGTGGACCAAAACATGCATATGCTGTGACCATTTGGTAGTTGGTCATCTCTATGTCCGCGGCAGTCATGAATCTATCGGAGCCGAACCGCGTGGGTCAAGCTTCGGCGTGACAGGCTGTGACTGAAGTCCTTGGTTACCATTTCCTTCTTGATATGCGCTGCTGCGGAGTACATCTTTCAACAAGTTGCTGATCCCAACGGCACCTGTGGTTTTACGGCCCGTATTTGAAGGCGAGGTGGGCATTTCCTTGTCTGCCGCAGATTTTTATGTCATTATATTTCGCTTCTCGAAGAACCTTGTGCGAGCCTGAGTCATTACTCCTACTTTGCATGCTCCAGAACTCCCAGGTGGTCCTGGCTCGAGTTGCTACCGACTGCTACTTGTCACGTTTTCTCCCGCATCATGAACTACGTAAGAACAGATAATTCTCTCCTGAAGCAACTTCGCTACCAGCGACAGAACGGCATCAAAAGCGAACGTATCTCCCAGCACAGCGCATAACCACAGCCATGAAGTCTATCACCATTGTCAATGTTCTTCTAGCGTGTGCTGTCGCTGCGGACCTCCACGGCCACGAGCGCTACCGGCGGTATCCAAAACAGCGCGTTCACGCGCATAACAAACGCCATACATGCGAAGAGGACTTGGCGGTCACGCCTAGTTCTGGACTCGTCATCGTATCCAGTGCAGACTCCAGCTCCTCTGCTAGTGTATATACAGCGCAGGCGGCGGCCGCCACATTAAGCGCCGGAGTGGGTTTCTCTGGGGCTGCCATTTCGGTTTCTGGTGCTCCGGAAGAAACCTCCGAGTCGCCTGCTAGCAGCGAACGCACTTACTCCATTACCGGGGATATCACTTACTATGATGTCGGCCTTGGTGCTTGTGGGTATGATGACTCTGTGCAGAATGATACGGGTTTATTCGCTGCCGTGTCTGCAGAGTTTTGGAACGGCATCAGCACGCTCACCAATGCTGGCCCTGGCCTGCCTCTCCACCCTCTTTGTAACAGGAAGGTCACACTATCCGCTCCGAATGGCAATCAAGTGGTTGTTACTGTGCGCGACAAGTGTCCCAGCTGCGCCAAGGAAGCCATAGATGTCAGCAGAGCTGCATTTAAGGCTCTTTTTGGTGACCTGGATGTTGGCCGAACTAAGGTAAGCTGGAGTGTGAGCTGGTAAGTCTACCGTTCTAGTCTTCGGGCAGCTCCTATCATTTCCGTTCATTAGACAAACGAACAGTGCCCATTTGCATTCCTCTTTCTGATAGATGACGGTCCCCCACCGCACCCTTCTCTACTAATCCACAGGAGTACCTATGCTCTAAAGAGCTTTACCACAAAACTGAGTAAGTGCGCATGCCTAACCCTTTTTGGACCTGCTGAGCGCTTCTGTCTACTGGGGCATGCTCGTATGCACTGCACCCGCAGGAACTAGTGAGTCGCTGCCCAAGGGAGAAGAGGCCGTATTCTTTAATCACATAGCAGGGCGACCCGCATGTTTATTAGGAAAGATAGTGAATCACCTTTTGTCTCAAAAGATTTGTACAGTTTCTTTCACAAAGATCTTCAGACGACGACTTGATTAACAATATCGTAGGAATGAATTATGACGCGGCGTGGCAGGACGATTGGGTGTGGTCTTTGATGAGTCAGCGGCGCCAAGACTCATGACTGTGCTAAGGCCAACGTAGCTGTGCTATGGCAGGTCAGACTGACACTCACCAAACGATGGAGGGAAAGAGATCTAGCTCGTTGTGTCTCCTATAACTATAGACATCTTTTGAATTTAACCCTAGACGTTATTCAAGTTCTCAACACCGACTGAGTGATTGAGCTTTTAAATACCAAAACCCGGAGAGCATGCTGTCGCAGAATAACCTGGAACATGACTGTCACAGTGCGGAAAGGTGTGCATATCCGACCAGAACGTGGGCGCGACGGATGATGCGCTAGCATAGATCTGACGGCGCCGGATGCAGGGTCCGCTCGCGGACCCGGTCACATTTCGCGTCAGCTACTCAGCACGAGGGGTCGCGCAATTCGCGATCCTGGCAATTCGTGTTGCTGATTGGCGCGACCCCTCATCGACTGCAGCAATCCGGACAGGGCTCAATGACGCCTGTCGATGAGATGAACGCAGAGAGAACCTTAATTGGACGTCCTTTCAAAGGACCTTGCGGGCGGCTCTTTCTGGACCTCCCGATACTTGGCCGCACATGCCACGAAACGGACTGGACAATTATGGTGGGTCGAGTCACCCGTCTTTCCTCGCGGCTCGGAAAAAGGCGTGAGGTGAGGTTCCTGAATTATGTGGGGTGCCTCCCCCAAAGGGCGCCCGTTGACGGCCGCTGCTTCGACGTCCTGCGATAAGGGGCACTGGTGCAAAGCCTTCCCTGCAGCAGCGAAGCAAGCTTGAAGGTGCAGGACCCCACTCCTGTGTCATTGCGCAGTAGGTCGACGCCGCCCGGATGGCGCATCATGTTCTATGGCTGTCTCTCTTCCCGACTTACTCTTTCCGACAAGGCTGAGCTGGGGCTAGACAAAGCCGATGAATGGCGACCAGGAATTCCGCCTTGGGGTGCCCGACGTGTGGAAGTTCCCTCTGGCAATTTGGGGCGCAGGCAACCCCCCGGTCCATGCAGGCACACCATCCAGCAAGCGGCACGAAAGTGGACCGTGGCACTTGCGCCGGCCCCACCAACCGGGCGCGTGACCAGGGGTCCTGATGTGCTGTGCCTTGGCGTGACTAGGAGGCGCCCCACTGCAGCCTCCCGGCCGTCCTGGGTGTCGACCAACAGATCAAGCCAGCAACAACCATATAAGGTCACCATCAGCTCGACATTT